GCGAAAAAACGCTTGGAGTCGTTTACCAGATTCGCTGCAATTGTGGGAACAATAGCTGCAATGGAGAAGCTGGAAGAGCACTCTGGATGCGACTAGCTGAATACGCACTACAAGGGTGGAAGTAGGATGCTAGATCTCCTTTTGCAGCTGACTGAAGGGGACTTGACCACGTCGTAAGCTCCTGTGAAGCTGTAATCCCCACGTTGGATGATGACCGAACTGTTTAAACCACGGTTGTTCGGCCCACAGTCTTGAAACAGCCACAGTAATCTTCCCCATCCCTGTTCAGTGCCAAGGTCTAGCCCGAGCAGGTTATTGATTTACACATGAAGTGACAGATTAACATCATTCCTAACGACGGTAATGACGAGCCAGTGAAATCAGTGCAATCAACGACTCGGATGCTATGAATCAAGTAATAATGGCACTAAGGATGAACGCCTGCGATCAGTGTGGAGATTGCTAATTTTGTCAGGCGTGAGGTTGCGTAATAAATCCGTCACATAAGTACTGCAGCATTTGTGGTTTCCGCTACTTTTATCTGCTGATAGCTGTGATTATGAGTTAGAAGGACATCGTAACCTCAGGTGAATAGAACTCTTGTTCCAGCGATCAAGTCTACTTGTTAACATGTTTCGGTAACTCGTTTTTTCCTTCGCATTGTTCGTTGGCCGTGGTCTAGCACGTCCTCAGAGCACTTCCGGAGAGTATGCTTCGGTGCAAGTTGGTATCCTTATACTGGGGGGAAGGCAGTTATCGACAGCGGCAGTGTGACGAAGCAGTCGGCGACGGCCAGAAAAAAACCTCTGGTAGCGGCACGCAATGTCTTTTCGAAAGCAGGTAGCTCGGGGCCTAGCCAAGCTTGCAAACGAGTGTGGCTAGGTTCTCTCGCCGGCATCGGCACCACGCGAGATAGCATGCGGTTACAGCTATCAAATAAATCCCTTTATCTTTGTCTTATTAAATCATACACAATTTCGTTGCAGTTCTTTCCTGTAAAGTTGACCTAGATTTGTGGATACGCGCATAAATTGTAGTCATAGAACAGTGCCCTCAGCAATCGGTTGCTTTAGTATTTAGTCGACGTGCTGGGAGTTAAAGTAAGCTAGCAGTCATTTTTTGAATGGTCCGCTTGGCATCTGGCCACCCTTGGGTTACAATGGAATGCGAAGGGGGAATGAGGATCAAAGCTAGCCAGTCAGAATTCGATAGAAGTAGTGTCGAGAAGAGAATTTGCTACAGGTTGGTAAGAAAGGTGACTTTTAGGCAATAAAATGGGAAATGATATTTTGGTGGGATCCGTTGGATCGTTGAACGGCGAAGTTTCTGGAGCCAGCAAAGAGGGCTGTTGTAATCTTGGTGGCTCAAAGAAGATTTCTGTTTGTCTAGTTAGAATTACAAATACACTAATCCAGTGGTAGTTTCTTTTTCGTGGACTTTCGCAAAAAGATAGCCAGATTACGAGGACGGTCCCATGGGCGGTCAATCTTAATTATCTGCAAACTAAACTCTGCCCTTTGAAGAGACTGGTGCTGTATATAGCGTGCCGACATTTTTCCATCCAAACTGCGTCCAGTTGACGCCAGTCATAATCCATCAGCGCGTTTCTCTATATAGTTCGTCGAAAGTCTCTTAACATTTCATCATCATCATAACATCACCATTTTTCAATGGCTAGAGCGCTGGTATATGTTCAAAAAAGGCCGCCAGTTCGAATCTCGGGTGGTGCACCACTTGGGGTTGAGTATGACTGGTTGACGACGGCTAATAAGCCAGAAATAGCTATTCTAGCCCTCCTGTATTTGCTGGCAAGACTATCTGCCTAGACTACTAGCCACTACAGCTGTTGTCAGGGTCCGAGAAATGAGACCCAAGCCAGAGCGGGACAAGTAAGCTCCGTAAGCAGCCGGTGAGCGTTCGTCAATGAGTGTTCACTTACCATCCTCCAAAAATTGCAGCGTATTCGTCAACAAGGCTGTGCCACGACGAAAGCCTAGAAAACAGTAGGATAACACAGGCGTGTGCAAACCGTAGATTTAATCTCGCAGTTTCTTCCCAATTAAGCACAGTTCGTTGTGCAGGAGCCCTGCCAACCAAGGTTCACGTACTCCATAAGAGTATTATGAGTAAATTCCGAGGACCGAGTTATCACGGGGAAAAAAATTAAGCCTGTCCGTACACGGTGACAGAAAGGAAAAAAAGCCCTTTGCCCATGTAAGTCCTGGTAACGCGGGCCAACTGTCTTCGGATTTGGTCCAATGCACTGAGGGGACTTGAAAGGTTTTTTTTTCTAAACGTGCATCACTGTGCACGCGCAGACACAGCAACTGCCTCTTTTTCAAATTCGCGATGGTGGGTAAAGTCCAAGCACAAAGAAGACAGTCTTGAAACTTTTACAGGGACTTTAAACAAAGATACGAAAAGGTCTGACTGGGGCACGCTTCTACAGAAAACCCTGTGTGCACAGGCGACGGGGATAAACGGGGGTAAACGGGGATTACCCC